TCAAGGTACTATACGGTATGATTAGGGTCACTCTACCACCACCTGAGGTGCCCTAAGCTCATCATAACCAGTTGCTTCTCTTCTTGTCATTTCCTAGTCACTATTTCCTAGAATAAACCATCCAGATTTACCTACATCAACGTAAATGACGGTATCATGTCCAGTCTTGCATCGGTGACTTGTATAGTGACTCAAAATACGACAGTGCGCTGCTGTTAAACATGAACAGATTCCCATTAACCTTTTTTGTTCCTAACTTTAACTACTTTACACATACTGTTTTGGTTCTACAACTAAAGCGGGACATACCAAGCATAGAGAACTTTCATTAATTACTAAATAATATCTTCTCTCGAAAACTTCAGATCGTTAGACGGTCAGATGGAAAGGCCAAAATGAAATACAAAAAGTGGTCCACATCTCCAATTTGGCTCCCGGAGGACTCAGAGGGCATCGACCTCCTAAAAAGTCTCCCAAGAGGAGCCCCAAAGGTATGAAGGCTTAATATCATGAAGCACCGCTACATAACATTTACTAAGAACAGCACAATGTCCAAACCGTGGCAAATGGATTCACCTTTTTCGTGTCTGACTTATTGTTCATTGTAGGTATAATTAGGCCCACAGTCGTATTGAGTTATTGTGAAATGAAGAACAAAGAAAATACTGAAAGCATTGTCATCGTGCCTCCTGAATTATGTTCTTTCCCCCTTTTTCTTGATAACAGCTTCTTGAAAGAAACAGCGAGATTAAACTTAGAAAATATCAAGAACGATCTACCGAAGTTTAGGCTCCACTTCGACTAAGACACGAGAGTATGGTGGAAAAACTTCCTGAAACGCAAAGGAATGACCGGAAAAGTAAATCCAAAATGGATTTTACCACTTTTGGAAAAGCAGATAGAGACCACGAACAGACCATTGCAAGTCAGCGACACCACCGATGAACTCTTTCGACTAATTGAAAGAGAAGAAAGGGATGTAGAGGTAATTTTCTTTTCACTAGTTCAATTTAGCATGCTCAGTTTAGCATGACAGCCTGCAAAGTGCTAGGATGTAAAACCAAAACGTGATTGAAAAACATGATGAATATATAATCATCCATTAATTTGAGTCCATAGGCTCGATTTTCGTCGTTCTCTCGCGTCCGGTCTTTTGTTCGAGGGAGGAGCGCGCCTCGTTTCCCGAACAGCGGCTGGAAATCGAACTTTCATGCAAAGTCCACTGAATTGTCTTAAAATTTATACCGATTTTTTCATACGTACGCGGCTCTTCACTCGAAGCTTCAAATAAGAGGGGCTAGGCTTTCTCTGCAGAAATAAGATAAGTGAACTACAACCGTGGTCGCACATGCTTTAAAAACACTTCGTATGTCAACGAAGTTTGAAACAAAAAACCTTTCACCTTACACACGGGGGCATTTTCACATTCATAACAACATTGGTGTAGATTAGTAGATGAAAAAAATCTTTAATTACTTATCGATCGTCCATGAATTGTAGACATTATACGAGGCCAATAAATGAAAAAAAATGTCTTAAACGTATACTCATACACTAATTAATGTACCTTAATTTCATGTTAGGTGCGTGCTGGATGAAAGAGAAAGAAAAGCGGAAATGGTCAAGGGAAAACGGGGCCCAAAAGGACCAAAAAATGGTAATTCATACCTTGTTAGAATCTAAAAACTTTGTTTTAATGTTGCGTTAAAACCTGCGCAAAATGATCATAGCCTAGCAAGCCTTGAAATGAACTTTGAACATTTTCGTTTTTATCGTTGTGAAATTTAGAACCTGGTTCTACTTCGTGCACGTTACTGCACTGTACTTTTTACACTAGGCCATTCTTCATGCAACCTACGCCGCAACAAAATTGCGAGGCAATTTGCAAAAACAAAATGCAAGATAAAGGATCAGGTGTATTAACGTATACTGAAAAAGCAAGTTTGAATTAGAAGACAGTGCAAGTGATGAGTAGACTTGGACTGATATCGTTTTTAGTCATTTACCCACCGAAGCCTTGTCATCTTGAAGATCTCGAGCTACATTAGGTTTTTTGTTGAAGATAGCTGTGTTCAGCTGTATTTTTGATCAATAAAGTGATCACGATCATACTTTAGTATTTGACTACCAGTGCAACCTCTGGTTTGCGACACCTTGGTTGCCAGATTTCTACTAGTCTTGCCTTAGGGAGTAGTGCTATAAAACAATTACAAGTATAACTGACACTAATTATTCATAAACTCAACATTCAGACAAACTGCATTTTAATTTCATTATTTTTTTTTCTCTAAACAGAGTGTCAGACGTATCAGGAAGGAGTGCAAGTCCTCATTGTCGTAAAAAAATTCAAAAACTACCAAAAATAAAAATAAAAATAAAAACTCACAAAACAACAACAACAAAACGGCTCCTTTAGGAGCCACCATATACCAGAAAAGTCAGTGATCAACTGATGATATAAGAAGATACATTATTTCAATTACAAAGTCGCTTGCTAAACTATGACTGCGGCATGTAATCCGTTTCATCCAGCTGTTCTCCTACCAAAATGTGTGGACGGGAAAAGGCAGAGATCAATTTTCGTTCTATGCAGTAGCTGTTTTGAGGAGCAGAATTATGAGCCAGTCGGATAATTTTTCCTTATTATCACCTGGCCCTCTTTAAGTCCATAAACAACAGTGACCTAAATATATTGCACTTCCACCCGTGACACACCTATCGCTGTAGTCTTCTCTCTAATTTCTATGATGGCTACCAGTAGTCTCAATCTATCACTCCCTAAATTTCCTGTTAATAAAGTGAAATTAAAGAGATTAAACATGCAGACATGTTACTAAGTGATCAGTACGGTTAATAATCGTCCATGTACCTTGCGATCTGTGTACTCAGTATAAACTAAGTGATCAGTACGATTAATAATCGTCCA